TGGAAAATTACAGACACACACACATCTCTACATTTCACCTTTGACTGTTTAACCCATCCAAATCTTAACAGTATCAACTAATATAGGTGTTATCTCAAATGCAATCAGATGTGGCTACTTGACAATGCCACTGTGTAAGAAGACAGGAAATCTATTGATGAACTTATAGGATTTGGTGGACTGACAGTAAGCTCCTTGATGTTCCTCTGTGTAGTGCTTCTTAGGCTATTTGAAGTGGGACACCAGCAAAATTTCCCATAATGTGCCAGGGACTAGTACCATACTTGTTCCCATTGACTACAACTGTTTCATTTTTTTTCCCTGGAAAGTCCCTGCAGATCACAGTCAATAGATCTTGGATTAATACTGGTCCACAGACCACCACTATGAGTAGCACTACTGAGGCCACCAAAGCAAAGCAGCTTCATTTATATACCGCTTCATACAACACTATGGAGTGTCTAAGCAGTTTACAATTGTAAGCTCATTGCCCCCCAACAGCTGGGTATTCATTTTAGCGACCTCGGAAGGATGCAGGCCTGAGTCCAGCCTGAGCCCTGGCTAGTATTGAACTCGCAACCTTGTGGTTTATGAGTGAGTGGCTGCAGTACAGGCATTTAACTACTGTGCCACCAGGGCACCAAGAACTGATATCTGGAAGAACTTGATATGTGACTGAGAACTTTGGATTCTTAGCTGGGTATGTATTCAACTATTACCTAATGTAAGATCCAGATGGGGAGAGAGAGAGATGGATATAGGTAAATAAAAACAGAAATTTTGTAAAATTAAAATGTAGAAAAGGGAAGTGACAGATTTGTCCATCCAGGGCCCAAGGCTTTAGTTTTAAAACCTCAGGCCTTGAATATATGAGCCTGAAAACATGGTGTATTTGATCACAGTAGTGCTGAATTAGGATTGCCACATCTGTTTGTTTTGTGTGTTTTTTAAAAGCTCCTCTGGTAGGTAGGTTTAGCATAAGAATCCTTGGCACTTTATAAGGTTGGTCAGAGAAACCACTTAAAGCAGAGTTTCTATTTGAAGCCACTGATTTTAAGTAGCATTATCACAAGCCATCTGTTATATACAATCATAAATCAATATTCCATTAAATAATCAGAAGTCTAAGAATGTAAAGAGATGGAGGAAAATGATGTTTGCAATAATTGAGGAAGCAAGTATTGCCTGCAACCCCTTTGCAACTGTAATGATTGTTTCTTTAATTATCTTTCTCTGTTTCTAAGGACAACCTTCCAGAATTCTTGGCTGAAGTTCATAATTTACATTCAGATAATGATAATTAAAGAAATCCAGTGCAAAGTCACCAGATGGAAGATAATGCTTAATTTGTGTTTGCTACAGCAGAGCATTTAATCACATGTTTCAGATTTTCAGTGAACATTTCTCTATATAAAACTTGTTGGTATACAACCTTCATTTTGAGCATCCAGGAGCACTTAGGTGGCAATCCTATACTCATTTGCATGGGAGTACATCCCACTAAAAACAAGTGGGTACAAGTGAAAAGGAAGTTGAAAGGGAAAGTCAAGAACATCATATCTCACCAGAAAGCTTTGAGGTTTAAATCTACAATAATTAATCTCTGACAGCTAAAATATATGCTGCAGATCAGGAAAGGGATTGCCAAATTCAAGATGGTGCCAGCATGGTTAATGAACAGAAACTATTGCTAGTTATGAAGTCAAAGGTTTACATGGCTGGTATCCATGACTCTTTGTGGGTTTTTGGGGCTGTGAGGCCATGTTCAAGAAGAATTTCTTTCTGATGTTTCCCCTGTATCTCTGGCTGTTTCATCTCTGAAGATGCCAGCCACAAATACAGGTGAAACATCAAGAAGAAATTCTTCTAGAACACAGCCTCACAGCCTGAAAAACCTACAAAAAACCAACTATTGTTAGTCTTACTAAACAAGGAAACTACTAGAACATCAGCAGAAAAAAATGATTTTTTAAAGAAAAAAATCAGTGGGCTGTAGGATTACTTCCAGCAGTGATCAGGGGCTTTTCTCCAGTATTCAACTGTAGCACTATTGTTCCAGTTTAATTGTTCTATTCCATGAGATGGAATCATGGGATTTGCAGTTCCAAGAGGGGCATTCAGAATTCTCAGTATGGTGGCTCATCAACTACAACCCTAAGGATCCCACAGGATGTAACTATGGCATTTAAAGTGGCATAATAGCATTGTAATTGGGTAGTATGAATGGACTGCAGAAATTACTTCCAATTTATTTCAGATTAGCTTTTTTTGTTGTTGGCTTCTACTGTTTTGAGGCACCCCTGAACAGCATTTAAGGACAAAACTGTGCCTCCCAGAGGGTTTGAGGTCTAAAAAACACTTTTTTCCAGCCAAAACTCTATTTTTCTATGGCCTGGAGGGAGCATGTGATCATCAGAGGTTGCACAGGGCTGCCACAAAGGAATGTATGCAGCTACTGGGTTGCAGCTATAGAGTCAAGAAAATGACCTTTAGAAAATGGAAGTCTTGCTCAAATATGAACAAAAAAAAGTGGTAATTCCATTAGCATCTGGTTGTCCTTCATGGGAGACAAAGAGTAGATTGGCATTTGGTCTAATGCACTAGGGCTCCTCTGTAGTTCTATTAATGAATCAGATATCTTCCAGCTCATGATAGCCACAGTCACTCTGATGTCATAATGTTCAGCCCAGATTCTGTAAGGGAACAGTTAGTGAGGTTCAGTTTCATTGGGGTGAAAATATAGTTATGCTTCAGTTAAAGAAGCAGATGTGGGCATTATTTTAACAGAAAATTTGGCACCCAAAACCAAAATAACATGGAAATAATGGGGATAAGTTCCTATACTAGAAAAAAGAGTAAATAAACTTGTTTTGGAAAAAAATTGAAACTAATAATACACCCATGAAATGATAAACCCAGGTTAGGTAAGACTTGAATAAGTAAGCAAAAACATTTCAAATCTTCTAGGGATCACTTGAAAGCTTCTTTGAAAATGCATTTTCTTTCCCTAGCTTCCACTTGCCTTATGATTACCATTTTGGAGACTAAACTTATAGATCCATGGAGTAGCTGGTGAGGCAGGCCTATCTGATCTCTCATGCATGCTCAGTAAAGGATCCTGGAACAAGCTATTGTTTACCTTGCCTGTTGTAGGCAGGTACACAGGGCTACAGTAAGATTGGCTAGAGGAAAATCCTACTCTTTCCTATCCCATTTTATTGCCCTGTTTCCTGCAGACACATTGCTGCAACCCAGTACCAAAGAACCTTGCTTCTCCATCTGTCTTTTAAAAATTCCAGACAGAGGACAAAAAGGAATAGTGGGCCTGGGAAGGCAAAAAAAAAAAAAAAAAAAAGACTTCAAGGGAACTTCTTTGTCAGGTGCTTTGTTAGCTGAGGTATGTCTGTATCATAATATTCTGGTGAAGAATGAAGTTTTAAAGAGCAGGCTAAGGCCAATAATCTCAGAAATATGGTGACCAGTAAAAGAGTATAAAATAGGCAATAGGTTGAAACAGAGGAATTCTAAGAAAGAGTAGATAAGGAAGAGGGCTTCAAGGAAAGGTCTGAAGAAACACACACAGAGTCTACTGAAGGAACTTGGTATAGCTGAAGACACATAATATCTGTGCAGAAAAACAATATTGGGAAAATAAATAGCGGGAAGTGGAAACTCCTCTATGGTTGTATATGTACGCAGAGTTTCTCAGTAGACATTTGGATGGTTTCATGGAACCTGGACTGAAAACTTTTCCATGCATTCATTCACCCCAGACTACCAGTTGGGCAAAAACCATACACACATTGTGAAATTAGAAGTGCTAAATGCTAGACAGGAAAAGGATGTTCAGAGGACTGGGAACTGCAGGCCAAAGATCATCTTGAAGGCTCATGTAGAAGCCATGCACTGTATGGCAGCCCACTGTATGTGCCACTACCTGGGAAGTTCTCTACCTAAAACCCTGAATAGCTGCCATTAGGTGGACAGGTCTTGGACTAGGACTCAGTTTATTCTTAAATTTTGGTCCTTTTGGACTTCAGCTCTCAGAATTCCAAGATGGCTGGGGTCTCTGGGAGTCAATGTCCAAAACATCTTGAGGACCAAAGTTTTGGAACAACTAGACTAGATGAACAAGCAGTGTGAAAACTTTGTTGCTTTCTGTTTCTAGGCAGCATTAGTGGACAACAGTGGCTTTCCAAATGTTTTGGACTATTGCTCACACTTCACTGTTGACTATGTTGGCTAGGGCTGATGGGAATGGCCACTGCTGCTCCAAATTGTTGTTCTTCCCTCCTTCTCTTCCCATTTCATTACCTGACCATGGCCCACTTACTGAAATACCTCACCAACCATATAGTCTGCGTCCAGATGTGTAGGTCACAAGTTATGCAGACCTGTGTTAAAGGCACACAAACATGTCCAGGGATAGCCTAAGGTATTTTGATGAGAAGTGAATGCTTCACCTTCTCATCCCACACAAACTGGTGGTCAGTAGCAACAGGCAAGTACATTTGAGACCCTGAGGCAGAAAATCCCACAAGCACCTCTCTCCTAGTTTTGGGGTAAACGTATGACACTAATAAACTTAGGTAAGTAACTATTTGCAACCCTTTCATGAAAGCCAATGTGGCATAGTGGTTTGTGTGCTGGACTGTGACTCTGGAGCCCAGATTTCAAATCTCTGCTCAGACATGAAACCCACTGGGTGATCCTGGGCAAGTCACAAGCTCTTAGACTCAGAGGAAGGGAATGGTAAAACTACTCTGAATGAATCTTGCCAAGAAAACACCATGATAAATTTGTCTTAGGGTTGCCGTAAGTCAGAAATGAAGGCACCCAACAATGACAATGTGACACCTAGCATCTGCTGGTTGAAGTAGTCATCTCTCAATGTCAGAAAGTAGAGTCAACCTAGAGCAGACCATATCCTCCTCAACAACTCATGAATGAAAATGGGGACACATGTGGCCAAGGAACATCATAATGTGGTCAAGGTGGGAAAATGAGGAAGAATGGACAAGTTAATCTGCAGCAGTTTTTTTTTCCCCTGAACCTACTGAGTAGGCAAAAAACAACACTCCAGGAACAGATGATATACCAATAGAACTGTTGCAATCCACACTGACAGATTTAACTCTAGTGCTAACCAACATATGTCAAGAGATATGGAAAACGAAACAATGGCCAACAGATTAGAAAAGATCAATATACGGGTCTCTACAGACAGGTGGCTGCCGGACGCCCCAAGAAGCCATGGATTGGGACCAAGTCTGCGCCATGCCTCAGCCCTGATCCACCCTTATGGTGCCTCTGAAAAGGAGTGCTAAAATAGCACTCCTTTCAAAGGCTCTAAAAGGGGTGCTGGAAGAGGTGCCAGGCACCTCTTCCACACTCTTTCTGGCTCAGCATGTCCAGACGCTGAGCTGGAAGGATGTCATCAGAGCGCTCACCATGTGCAATGGTGACTGCTCTGATGACAACTTCAAGAAGGGGGTGGGGTGCCCGGCGTCCAGCTGCCCCTCCCCTTCTCTGGCTCCAAGACGGCACTTTGTGCCATCTGAATCTCCGCATTCATCCCCATCCACAAAAAAGGAGACACAAGAGACTGCAGCAACTA